TGCTATCAAGGAAAAGTCAATGGGATAGTACTGTGACAAGCCATACCTCTCACTTTTGCAGCTCATAAGCTCTTTCCCATCACATATCTGTGAGATTTTCACCTATGGCATACATTGCTGAGGCTGGAATTGCTGCTGATGTCATTAAATCTGTTCTCCAGAGATCTTATTCCCCTGTTAATACCAGGTATTGCTAGCCCTCAGTTCAGACTATGTAGCAATTAAGCCCCATTATGGAATTAAAAGCTGAAACAACAGGACCCTTTGTGCGAAGCCAAGTTCCTACGCAGAGCTGGGATGGGAGCTTGGCTGCCTGATGGCAAGGTTCTCCCTGGACCTAAATACATCACAGGTAATAGGGTGTTGAGGACAGGACCTTTGTTTCTCTTAGGAACTGCAGCCAGTAAAAATCTATTTTTATTATTCACCTGCAGTATTTTTGATGGCTCAGGAAATGACAAGCTACATCACTTTTGTTAATGTCTTTGGATATATAAACTGGTTCAAAACCTGTAAAATAATAAATATTTCAAAATTAGGTAGTGAAAAAAAGCTAGAAAATAACACTGGGCTTTTTATTCAGCTGAACAAAATAACTAACCTGTGATATGCTTGTAGTCTATACTAATCAGATCTAATCCGTACCTACACTTATATAGGCAGGTAAATTTATATTAGGTTTATAATTATATTTAAAAGCACTTCTTAAAAGAAAGAAAAATTAATGAAGGGCACAATTAAAATTCTCCAAATGTGTATTTTATCTTAAAATTTCATTAGACAGTAAATGAAGTAGAATCAATAGTGTAGCGTGAATGAAAACTAATATTTTCCTACTGGTCTCAGAATATTGCTGTGTTTGATGGAGTAGGCTGAGGATACCTGAATGACTGGGTAAGTCCCAATAATAGCTCCTCTAGGGTAGTAACCACAACTTTTTTGTAACAGGAGTGAAGCTTATCCTTTGCATGTGGGTGGTCTAAGGACCCACGAGGAATGTGAACGCTTTTGAGAGTACATTTACTGCTCGTTGTACTATCTGGAACAGCAAAGCTGCATTTAAATATATTTCTATCTGAAAGAACAGTAGTACAGGCAAAGAAAAAACACAGCCCTACCAAAACAAAATACTGTGTGATCACCTCTTTCTTTTTCTGTTTGGAAGAGAAGGGAGCAGGTGCTCTTTAAGTGACATAATGCACTTAGATGTCCTCAATTATGTACTGGAGAGAGCATCTAAAAGCTTACATCTAAAAGAATGCAGTAGAATAAAGTGTAGAAGGAAGATGCAGCAGCGTGCTTGCTGAATTTACTCTTGTCCCTAATTTCCCCTAATGCTGGGATGCAGAGTGCTAACTGCTGTGGGCTTGTGGACAGCTTAGTGGCACTTCACCACAGGGTGTAAATCCCGTGCAGTTTGCCGATCTGTGCCACTAGGTGGAGGCAGATGTTGCACAGCACACATCTAGTGAGCAGGGGGAGGAGTGCCAGCGGCTGCCGTTTGCCCGAAGGAGAGGGCCTGCAGGCGGGGGGAGCTGCAGCAGCGGCCCCACAAGAGGTAGGGTGCTGCTGACAGCTCATCAGTGGTACCTTTGCCCCCTCTGAGGACAAAAATCCTGTATCCTACTTTGTTTCAGACGCTGTGGGGATGCTAGCTGAACACTGTTGCCACTCAGAGATGGCTCCGTCGAGACACAAGGGTGTCTCAGTCCCACCTTGGATGTGCCCCACTGCAGGCCAGTCAGCTCGCATGCTTGCTGGAAGCTGTATTCCACATGTCAGGAACTCTGCCTAGGAACACACCTCTGGAGTTTTAGCCCTTTTGTGTCAGTTCATACTGAAATTTATTGTATACTAGGAACTAGATCTGCTACTTGTAGTCAAGTGTTGGTTCTCATACCTTCATCATTTGTCAGTCAGTACAGTGTTTCCTCCAGCATGGTGCATGGATTGTCCCGTGTGTCCTTAGGAGTGGTTCTTTCTGCACAGTCTTTTCTCTGATGACCTCTGTCTTTGTCCTTTTGTCTTTAAGAAGCACTACCAAGTGACTGCAGCTCAACAATGAGCATGGTGTGTCTTCATTTTGTGCTATATTCCCTGTGAGGACTGGCCAAGAGAACAGGGCACTTTCTGTCAACGTTGTATCTTTCCAGGGCCCCCAAGGTTGAGCCAGGATGGTCGAGCATACACATAGGCCACGTAGCTCACTAGTCTCATTCTTTGTAGTCTTTAATGCAGTCTGGGATCTGACTGACTATTCTGAGACTTCCTGTTTTCCTCTTACCTCAAGACATCTATCCCCTCAGAATAATATCCACTTAGCACTAGCTACTTCATCTTTGAGTTTTCTGTGGAAGAAATGACCAGTAACTGATGGGAATGTTTTCAAACTTTGGTCTTACCAGAGATGAGAAACCTTTCTGATGGGGAAGCACTTGAAGGAACCATGCATTAGACCCTATCCGTTCATATTCTTGACACTTTGGATGTCTGTCAATGACTTATTTCAGCTGTCCCACCATCTGGTTCTGCTTTTTGCAGCAGATATTATTAGGTTAGATGGACCAGACTAACAGAGATTCTTCATGGAATAAACTGCAGTCCATCTGGCAGATCTCAAGCTCTAATTCTCTCTCATCCCCTCTTCAGCTTGTTGCTCCCTCTTGTTACAGAGGAGGTTGCTGTAGGGTTGCTGCCTTGCTATTGCTGGAGGCGCTTCTGGGGCAATCACAGAGCAGTGAGGGTCTCATGGATGGTGAAGATTTCTCTGATGCAGTAGCTAGAGGATCAAGTGTGAACTAGGAAGGGAGTAATTAGAAGAGGTCAGAAGGAAAGCAAGGAAAGGTAATTTCCCAATGTGACAGTGAGGTATGGACCTTAATTCCTTACAAATATTTTCACATCCCTTCCAGCTCCAAGGAGCCAGGAGGAGCAAACCCCAGAGATCAGCTAGTACCCAGAAACCTGAATGGGAATAGGGCCTATCTTGGGAGGTGTATTAGTGTCTAGATGCTATCCTAGGAAATGTTTATATTTGGTGGCTGAGAGAGCAGGACATGAGCCTTCTGACTATATGTAGATTAAAATTGCCTCTCCTTCTTTCCATCCAGCGCTTGCATTGCAGAAGATGCCACCACTTTCATGTGTCCCACATTGTCCATGAGCAGACTTCATTCTCTCAGCTGTCCTGCACTAAACTTGAAGCTGAGCAAAACTTTTCCCCAGTTGTATGTGGACTCAGAGATCTTTCATCACTAAGGAGCAGTTCTTGAACTGGAAAAGGTTTTTGGAGAAAGGCTGGGAAATGCTGTCAAGCTTTGGAGAGGCTAGGCTGTTGTGCGTATTTGGCAAATGTGTTCTCTCCCTGTCAGGGAGCATAAAAAACTCCTAACGGAGAAACCATTGGTCCTAGTAAGAGTTTGTTGCATGAAAAAAAGCCCCAGTGTTAGCAGATCAGTTCCCGTGCACAAAGTAGTCTATTCTTATCCCACCATTCCCAACGTCTTCAAGGACTGAACCCAGTGGAGGCTTTGAAGTTTCTCAGCTGATGTTTTGCCTGGTGAGCCAGAAAGGCATGGCCATTTTCTCTTGGGACTTGAAGACATGGGTGCATTTTCCCATGTCATTTCAGCTCTTCAGCTGTGTCAGGAAGACAGGCATTCCCCCCTGCAGCAGAGAGCAGCTCAGGCCCCAAGGACAACAGGCCAGCTCCAGCAACCAGGAGGTCATCCTAGTGTTTCCAGGGTTATGCCCGTCTGTGCTTGGTTTTGTTTTCTGGTGACGTGGGATTAGTCTTCCAAAGGAGAGAGGGAGAATTCCTGTTTGTGGGTTTTGGTGAGGGTTTTTTTTTGGTTTGTTTTAAATTTCAAAATACCCGAGAGGTGTTTGGATATTATAGTGCACAGTGGGAATCCCAGCCCAATACTTCTCCAGTTTGTTTTTCTGGCAAGCCAGGGAGGACATGAAGTTAAAAAGCTGTTCCCATTGGGAAAGCATCTCAGCCCATGCTGAAGGAAGCATGGGAAGCACACTGTGATTCTGAGGAGACAGCTGTAGGTGCTGTGAAGGGCCAGGACATGCATGGGAAGAGAAAGCAAGCCAAGAACAGGATTGTAACTCCATCAGTAAATACACACAAGCTCTATGGGTAGCTATACCCATATTCAGAAAGATATTTTTCTGTCTGCCTATCACACATGCAGGAGTTATTTAATCCCCCAGTGAAATGCCAGAAAAAAAAAAAAAAATTACACAACCTTTTTTTTTTTTTTTAATTGTTAAGTGAAATTTTATAAAGTGCAAATAAATCAATATGATAATTCAGGGAAAGTGCAGTCCAGGAGTTTACCATTTTAATCAGCTAGAGGATTGAAATTGGTTTTGAACACCAAAACAGCCACATATGAATTCTTTGTTTTTTTGAAGCATTTTCTTCAAGAGTTTGCTGACCTTTTCCCTGTGGGAAAGAAACACAAAACATAGAGACTGTACTGGAAATGGGCAATGAAGAGAACTATGTTTCATTCCTAATGTTCCTCTAGCGTGCCCTGATGAAGGTGGTGCCTAAAGAAAAACAAAACTGTCATAGTTTACTGCGTGGGATCACTTCTGTTTACACTCCACTCCTGTTGCTGAGTAGTTTCTGTTTTCCCTGAACTGTCCTATTGACCTGGTAAGTAGCATGGCATCTCCGATTTCCCTGCCCCACTCACTGAAAGACCTCACTTGCAGAACCAGACCTACAGGACTTGTTTGGCAATATGTGTCTGTGCAGGGAGACAGTGTGCCAGGCCTCTACACTGCTCTCCTGTTACCTCTTGGTTGCAGTGGGGACCCCTGCAGAAGGAACACAGTGGAGGGAGTATGTGGGAATGTGTTTTTCCCAAGTTTGTTCCACTTGCATTTTGGAAATATGGTAAAGCCCTTGCAATCAGGGAGAATGGTGAAACCTGTACCCCAGTAGTTTTTAACTGGAAAATCAGATCTCATAATGAATTTACCATATAACTTCTGAATGCCTCGCTTATCATCCCTTGGAAGTCTGAAGGTTGCTGGGTTCGTATATGAGTAGATAGGGTACATCAGCGCTTCACGGACATTTGAATGAGCAAGTCCCAAGGAATGGCCAAATTCATGAGCAGCAACAAGGAACAAGTTAACTTCTGCAGCACAGAAGCATAGAAAAGTATGTTAGAGGTGTGGCATTTCTTTTTAGCATACAAAGAATCAAAGTAATGGGAGAATTTATCTTTCATTCCCTTGGAATGAGACCTTAGAGTTCCGATTAGTTAGTACTGAACTTTCTTATGTAACTATACTATTTTAATAAAAACATTACTGATCCCTTGCACATGCATCTAGAGGCAGAGTCTCTTTCCAACTCTTTTTGTCCACCTCATTCCTGCAAGCAAGTCATTTTTACCGTTTCATAATTTATATGGAAAAGAGAGGTTCATACTCTTTGTTTAGCCTGTGAAAAGTGCTTCAAAATATGGACAGAACAGGCATCATGTAGCTGCTAATGATAATGATGCACAAGTACTTAGAAAGGTAGTTGAACAGAAATGTTGGTACTGAAATGGTACCAAAACATGAATTGTTAGGGAAAGCATTTCCTATAGCTATGTTCTTTGAACATGTACAATATTTGCCTTTCCCTGTCACACACACACGTTATTTGCCTTTCCCTGTCACACACACATTTACCTCTATTGGTGTCTGACCACTTTTCATCATCATCAAAATGAGCATCTCCACCAATCCCTTCTCCAGGTGCAAATGCGTGAGCTAGTGTGTTACCTCTCCCATCAAAAGGATATCCATCACCATGCTCTGCATTTGAAAAAAAATAAGTATCATCAGATGACGTAATGTTTAAATTCAGCAGATTGAAGCATCTTGCTTGTTTGTGCTGGTTTTGTTCATTATCAGTCCTTAAAAAAAATCATATGGTAGCAGGAAGGTTGCAAAAATGATAAGCAAGGCTTAGGAAAGTTTCCCAATTAATAACCTAAGTTCAAAACTTGTATTTGATAATTCAGGCTGCTGCACGTTTCAGAAAGAACTAAACATTTGTTCTAAGGCAGCAATCAGGGTTTATTTTCAGAATAAATACTTAATGCTTGGCAATGCTATAAGCACCTGCATGTTTTCACTGGTGGGAAACGCTGGGCAGCATTAGTTGTAGACATTCTCACTTGTATTGATTTTAGTGGAAGACAGTGATTTGGGATAGATAACCATGTTCCTGAAGAGGAACCATATTCCATGTTGATTTGTCCCCAGCCTTGGGGTATGATCTGCTACCTAATTCTGCAACAGTGCATGTGGAATGTTACTGTTCCCTACCTCGAGATGCAAGAGCTGGCAAGATGAATTATTTGTACCAGCTCTGAAAACTTCCCCCTGCCTTTTAGTCAGCCTCTGACTTGAATGAGGAGTATTTGGGGACTCACATGCAATTCTGTGCACTTTCCCACAGACTATGTGGGTGGACCCTGGGGCAGGGCTAACATAGGAAGAAGAGACCTACTCTTAGTGCATGATGAAGGATTAAAACCCATTCCAGTTTGCAAGATCCTTTCTCACTTTGACTGGCATATTAGTTGACTCTCCATAGCAACATAATATGCTTCCCATCAGTGAAGCATGAGCTTGGGACATTTTGGGGTTGGTATGCAGTTGTCCACTTGCAAGTCAAGTGTCTGATTTTCACTTATGGTAAATGGTGATCTGGTAAATATTGTCAATGGATCTAGAGAACAAGTCAGCTAACCTTAAAGTAGCCACTTAGTTTGGCTAAGCTGAGTCAATTTAGGTGCCAGGCACAAGTTAGAAGTATGGCTGCATTCATATATTAGTTTGGATCACAAGTGAGCTTCTGCAGTGGTTCTGCTGGTCGTCTGCATTTACCATTTACCATTTTGCCTGCACCCTGGTGCTGTCTTGAAGTGCACCAGTGGGATTCCTTCTAGAAGAAAATCAACCAGAAGATACTCTCTATGGCCAAACCTAGTGCATCCCAGGTGCCAAAGACTGTCTAGTCCAAGGAACCAGACTAGTATTACACAAAAGTAAACCTGCCCAAACCCAGCCTCTGGAGGCTTCAGAACCAGCTGGTTTGTGCTATAGATCTGTTCCCATTAGTTAGCACTATTTGTCAAGGCAGACAGAGCTTTGAACATCTGAATTTAGGTGTCTCATTCTGGACCTGAATTCTCCTTCCATTTCAGAGTTTTAACTCTGAAAGGATTTTCTAATGTTTTCATAGAACTAAAACTGAATCATACGATATACAGCGGGTGGCATGATAAGAGAAGATAAAACTTATGCAGACTTCAGAATGATTCCAAACCAAATTCTTTCTTAAAGCTGTGGTTATAAAAATAAAGGCTTTGAGTCCAATATGGACCATTGTATTTTAAAAATGACAGGGATACTCACCGCGACGTGCAAATCTAATCACAATGTCTGCAGGTTTATTGTATACTCTTTGGAACTGCAGTGGAGTCACGTCACTCCATACCGCAAGAGCCCTTTTGATTGCATTCTCCACTTTCTTTTGGGGTAGGTCAGGTGTATAATTGACAATCCTGGCAGCAAAAGGAAACTGATTAATATCATTTAGGGTGTGAAGGAAATCCACATAGTTAAATACAAAGCAACACCTTTCCTCACAAAACCTGAAACATAACTAACTTGTAAGTCAAATGTGTCTTTTTCCATGTTGGACTTCCAGGAAATGTTTTGTAATCTGCTACATCGGGGATTCCACATCTGGGCCGATTCATTATTTCTTCTGTTTCTGTATTTAATTTTCCAGTTACTGTCAGGTGGAAAAACCTCTGCATTTCTTTAATCCTCTCTTCTAAGCTTAGGCTCTGTGTTTTTGTAAGATGTGGAAAGAATTTATCAAGGTATGCCTGGAGGAAGAAAAGGAAAATAAAAGTGAATAGGTGTATCTGTGATCTTTTGGCAATTGCATTTTACATTTGATTGAATTGTTTAGTTGTCCTGCAGTCATGGCTACTTTTAGATACGTTTTTTCTTCCCATTTCAGTTTACCAAATGCTATTGTCTCCATAGTAATTAGACTATATAAAAAGAAGTGCAATAGCAGTGAAACACCGTAAGCAAGCAATCCTTTTAAGTAAACACAATTTACTGAGTGTTCAAATCCGCAGCTTTCCAACACAGTCTGCATAATATATTTGAGATGTTTTAAAAATAACTTGCTCCCCTTATTTACCAGTTGGAACTTAGTCTCTTTTGTAAGTTAGATTTAGGGAGTCTAAGCTAGCCAGCAAGGTTCAAATTGCTTTGTACCATCTCTGCAAAATCTGTTGTGGCAAGATAAGGAGATAATATAAGCATCTAGGAAAGGAATGTAGAAGCTGAACAAAAAATCAGGTTTTTCATAATGCGGTTACATTGTGCCCCTGGTAACATACCTTTATATTCTCAATGGCTTTGTTGCTCCATGATTCTGAAGTAAATTGTACTGGAAAAGCAAGACTCTTGGGTAGGAGGATGACAGCACAAAGTAGGATGTATTGCATAGTGCCCAGCTTGCCAAGGAGCCTTGATACCACAGAAAGTATTTGTCCTTCTGTCTCTCAAGACCACAGCTAAAATGCTTATATAGATCCTGCTAGCTCCAAGTGGCAGTTATGTGACTCACTTTTTGGTGGTGTTGATGTAATGTCATCACTATTCTAAGGAGCAAATGAAAGCATGTTAAACAAATCTTACCTTTGACTTCCCTGTTGATGTCATGTCACAGCTAGCAGCCAGTTTTGTCTTTCTTTTTTTCATGCTATTCCAGTAGTGAAACCACAGGGTCATAGGGAAGTTCGCTTTCTGTAACTTCGTGAGTATGTTTAGTGCATAATCACGTCTTACTGCATTTCCCCAAAGATCCTTCTACAGAAAGGTGTTTTGCAACAGCCTTTTGGTAAGACAGCCTGCCTGCGCTGATGCAGAGGTGAGATGGACAGGAGCACAGGAACACTGAAATCACTGGCATTTCCTAGGGAGCATGCACAAAGCTGTCTAGATTTTTTTTTGTCTGATTCAGATTCTCCTATAATGTATCCTGTGCTGCAGGAAATCCAGTTCCCTGAAGATGAAGGGGTTTCTGCTGTTTTTCCGGACATCAGAAGAGAGCTCTTTAAATGTGCCCTCAATAAATGGGAGGCTATGGGAAGCCTTTGTCTTTTTCCTCACAAATGAGATGGCCCTTCAGGGGCCTTTACATTGGTGAATGAGATAGAAAACATAATTTACAAGAATGGGTAAAAGTCTTCAGGAAAAAAAAGGGTGGACTAAGCCTCTCTTAGGGTAAGCTCTAACAAATGTGGAGCTATCTTCAACCTCTGGCTCTACCAATGCAATCTGATGGGGGTCCATGAAGCACTGTCAGAGAAAGCCAAAGCTGAGCAGGAGGATCACAACCTCCCTAGTCCCCTGATAGCAACACTGGTCTCAGTTACACTCCACCAAACCTCACTGGAAGTGATAGTTATTGAGGAGTGGAAACACCAGTCCACAGACTGACTTGTGAATTTTTCAGACTGTGCAGTTTGGTGACCATATTACTTCTGATTTGAAAGGGAAGACATGTAAATGGGAAAGATCATTACTGTTTCCAATGAAGGTCAGCACATATGGGTTCAGCTGGACATGTATGGAAGAGTTTGTGGGCTACTAGCTTTAGTCAGATGTACTTCTGACTGAAGTGACAAGAAAGACTGATTTCGGAGAGAGGTGATCTCTACTAAACACTGCTGAGTTATTCAGTAGAGGACTACATTACACAGTAATGTCTGGAACAGTTTCTAAAGGAGCGAGGCTTCCACCTGACATTAAAAACAGCCCAGATACCTTCCATGTGATCATTTCTGTACAGTTTGGTAGGCTTACAGGAAATCTTTTCGATGGCCAAATTTTAAAGCTTGATGAAAAAAAAGCTGGTTTATTATTAGGAGCAGGTTCGTCTTTTTTATTCCTCAACAACTTTATGTCTGACTGGCTGTAAAGCAGGATCTGGACCAAGGTCTGGGTGGCAGGAGATGAGGATGTGTTTAAACTACTTTGAACTCCATGACTAGTGTCTGCTACTGATTATTTCCTCATATATACAAGAGAAGTTTGAAAGCCTCCAGAGCCCCATTCCAGCTGACAGACTATTGAGCAACTCACATATATCTTTAACAATATATTGTAACATGAGAGCTTGGTGAGAAAGGACAGATGTCATGTTCCATTATATTTTCTGCTGGAAATTTGTCAACTACCCTCCTTTTTGTTTCTTTCAAGAGACAAGGTTTCAATGAATATTAGGCTTGAACTGAAATAAAAAACTTCCCATGAAAAGAATTTTTATATATTTGGGCTCAAAATCAGCAGAAAATCAATCTAATTCTAATAAGATAAATATCAAAGGGAAACAGATGCTGATTTTTAGACTTAGCTGTGTGAATTTTGCAGATGTTAACTTTTTGTGACAAAAATGACCAGAACTGTTGTGGGTCAGGAAAAAGGATTTCCTGCCCAAACATTAGAGTCATATCATTTACATGCTGCAGAGAACCTGTGCCTATGCCAGAAAAAGTTCAGGGAGATAAGAAGAAACATTATTAGAGACATTTAACAGTAGAAGTTAGCCACACAATGAAAATACAAGTGTTCTATGATGTAGTATTCTGCTAGGACTCATAATATTTCCACTGAAGTGTTTACACTGTGACATTTTCTGAGGTGAGTAACCCTTCTGTGAACAAGGATGCTTCATGAATCTATGTCTGGTGTGGAACTCATTGATGGGCATCAGAGCTTTTGTGCTCTAGAGAAAAATACATATATAGAAACTAAGACCTCAGCCTCCTTTAGACATGAGTGGGATGAAAAAGTGAAGTAGAACTGAATGATTCAGTAGTGAATGATCACTTTTTCTTGGTCATTTGACTTGGACAGGAGGCTCAGCTGGATTCTGCCCAACCTGAATGCAGCCAGTCATGGAGTTAATACAAGTGAAGAGCTGCTCAAGGGTTTTTCTGAATCATAGAATGATAGAATGGTTTGATTTGGAAGAGACCTTACAAGATCAGCTAGTTTCAACACCCCTGTCATGGGCAGGGAAAACATCCACTAGGCCAGGTTGCTCAAAGCCCCGTCCAGTCTAGTCTTGAACACATCCAGTGATGGGGCATCTACAACCTCACTGGGAAAGCTGTTCCAGTGACTCAGTCCCCTCATAGTGAAAAACTTCTTCCTCATTTGTGATGTAAATCTACCCTCTTCCAGTTTAAAGCTATTACCTTTTGTTGCTCCAAGCCCTTGTAAAAAGTCCCTCCCCAGCTTTCTTGTAGGCTCTCTTTAGCTTCCGGAAGGTCACCGTAAGGTGTCCCTGGAGCCTTCTCTTCTCCAGGCTGAACAACCCCAACTCCCTCAGCCTGTCTTCACAGGAGAGGTGTTCCAGCTCACAGAATGTTATGGGCCTGGCTGGGATGGAGTAAACTTTCTTCACAGCAGACTGTATGGTGCTGTGCTTGGATTTGTGGCTATACCAGTGTTGGTAACACACCATTGTTTTGGGTATTGGTGAACAGTGTTTGGAGAGCATCCAGGCTTTCTCTGTTTCATACTCTGTCCCCACAGCATCTGGAAAAGGCTGGGTGGAAAAGAGGCTGGGAGGGGACACAGCTGGGACAGCTGACCCAAATGCTCCATAGGGATATTCTGTATGATATAATGTCACACTCAGCAATGAAATTAGGCTAGCAGAAGAAAAAAGTGGAGTGAGGGTTGTCTTTCAAGGTAGCAATTGCCTGGAGACTGGCTGGACATCATTCTGCTTGCGGGGAGTGGGGGGCCTTTGCATCACTTACCCTTCCCCCCTTCCTTTCACTTATTAATCTGTCTGCATCTCAATCCAGGAGTCTTCCCCTTTTTGCACTTCCTGATTTATCATTCATCCCACTGTACGTGGAGGGGGGAGTGAGTGGCTATGTGGGTGATAAGCTGCTGGCTGTGATCTACCGACAATAGTGAGTATCAAGCAAAAAGCACAGCCAAAGATTCCTAGAAAATGCTTTGTTTGTTGTGAAATGATTTGTTTTGTGAACTATGCAATATTGTATAAAAGAAACTATAAAACTGGATTCTTGTGGTCTCCAGGACAATTCATTAGTTTTGTTTTGCTATGTGTTTATTCAGTTTGACTGAAAAAAAAAATAAAATTCAAACATAGCAAATGGTTTCTACGGAGGAAAATGTCTCTTTTTTTCTTTGCAATTTCTTTAGGCTAAGGTCAGTGAGGTACAGTTTGCTTTAGAACCTTCTTGATATTTTTGCATAAAATGAACCTGCATCCTCCTCCTTGTCTCAGCTTCACATGTCACACTGCTCTGGATGGAAAATGGCCTCTGAGCAATACAAATCTAACGTCCTCTCATGGCTGTTGCAGACCATTTTTACTGACTGTGAAAAGAAGCACATCTCCATGGCTTCTGCACTCCATTGCCATAGATGTTACCCCTGAGGGAGCTCTCTTCAAAGGAGTGCCTTGGCACCTGGAATATGTATCCCCTTTTCAGGCTGTGTGAGTGTAAAACCCTCCAGTCACCCCTGCCTGGGTACAGAGGTCCTGCCAGGGCCCCTCAGCACTGTGTCAGCCTGTCCTTGGAGAGATGCAATCTTCCCTTCTGTTTGCCTGGATCCAGGTACATTGAGCTATTTCCAAGCAGGATCTACCTCTTATCCCACTGCTTTAGGGGAGGAAAGGCCTGAGGAAAGGATTAGATGTTCAGATTCAGCACAAAGAGTGTGACAAGAACTAACACATCTAAATTACTAATACTTAAGCAATTAAACTTAACGTATCTCAACTTGTGGATTTGCCACCTTCTCACAGTATCTAGAATAGTTTTGCAATTAATGATTTTATATTGACAACAATTTAACTGGGACATCATGTGGGAAAATGATGTCAATACAGAGACAAGGTTTTACAATCATAATCTTGAGCAATAAGCCACAAGGGAAAGGGCATTCCTGTAAAAGTTACCTACCTGTGTTAGCTCTGACATCCTCCTTTTTTAAATTTGTCTGCTCCTTTGGTCAATGATCAGGAGTCCCTCTTTCCTCCAGCTAACAGATGCATCTTAGTTTCTCAAAATTTTCAATAAAATAATTTGATTTATTCAATTTTTATTGAAGCCATAAGAGATAACCTTTAGGTGCATGCAGTCTTTCCTTCCTTCAGGAGGGACACGGGGAGGGGGGCAGGAGGTCAGCCAGCTGTTTCAGTGCGGTGTGGATCCAAACCTTGCTCAGCAGGAGCAGTGGCATAACCTTCTATAGTCAACTTTCATTTATGAACTCCCTTTTTGTATCTGGCTGTCCCCATCCGTTTGTAAATCTGGCTCAACGCTGTCTTTAAAGGACTGGGCCAAGATGCAATCTAAAGCCCGGTGCATGTCTTGTCTTGACAAAACCATCCCTTCATGTGGGCAGCCTTTAATTTAGTACTTGGGCTGAGGCAGTCTGGGCCTGGCTG